TGGTCAGAAGATGGTACACTGTGGTCATAAAGGGATTGACATGGTCAGAAGATGGTACACTGTGGTCATAAAGGGATGCAACAATATTTGAGTTATTGTTGCCTTTCTATCAGTTCCAACCAGTCTGGCCATTCTCCTCTGACCTCTGGCATCAACAACGTATTTTCACCCATAGAACAGCTCACTGGATATTTTCTCTTTTTTCAGACCATTTTCTGTAAACCCCAGAGATGGTTGTGGGTGAAAATCCCAGTAGGTCAGCAGTTTGTGAAAAACCAGCCCGTCTGGCACCAACAACCATGCCTTRTTCAAAGTCACTTAAATCACCTTTCTTCTCCATTCTGATGCTCGGTTTGAACTGCAGCAGATCGTCTTGGCCCTGTCTACATGCCTAAATCCATTGAGTTGCTGACATGACATTAGTGTTAATGAGCAGTTGGACAAGTGTAACTAATAAAGTGGCCGGTGAGTGTAAATGTTCCATGTTTTAAAAAAAAAAAAACTCACATAAAAAGGTCTGAGTGGAATTAGCTGAGTTGAGGTGAACAAGCTTTTTGACGTTTATAGAACCACAAACACCTAAATCTGTGAATCCTGACCTGTCTGAGCCTGTCCAGAGTCAGGATGTTCTCCACAGCCAGGACGCTGCGCAGGTATTTCTCAATGGCTGCCTCGTTGTCTGCTGACTGGTCGTCTTCACCACTGGTAGCCAACCGTGCCAGCAGCTCCCTGTCCTCCGGACCATGGATGTCCTGTGGGAACAACAGGACCTCAATTCACACTGAATATTCTTTTTTTAATATAGAGTACATTCATTTATAAAAAGTTGGTCTAATAAACGGAAACTATACAGTCACCTCACATTTACAAAGCCATTCTTCAGGATCACAGTGTTCTGACAAAATGAGGCAGTAGACATCTTTTGACACAACTTTATTCATTCCTATAATAAGGCAAAGTTTAACYTCTATCTCTATCTGGTCATTATTCTTGTGTTTGTGTCACTTTTTTTCCTGCATCTCCTTCAGCAGTGCTGGAAATGTGGAAAGTGTAGTTTTACAGTTCCTGACAGCTTCATGCCTAACCAACTCACTGATAATCCATCCTCATTGTTTGAGACACATTGGGCCTCATGCAAGAACATGTTCGTATTCTTATCTTAAATTTCTTTTACTTTTGTTCGTGCAAAGGGTTCGTACGAACATGCCACGTCAGATTCGACAAACTCTTCTATCTTCAGGAAAAGTGTGTAAATGAGCTGCGCAAATTACACCTGTTCGTATCCAGCTGCTCGTGCACGCGAGAGGAGATTAGCATAATTACCACCCCAAAAACACCATATAAGGCTATGTTTCCTGCCTCAGATAYHAGGAAGTGTCCATTCATGAAAATGACAGCGAAAACTAAAAAGAACTTTACGAGTTCAGAGATTGAAGTCCGTCTGTCAGAGATCCAGAAAAGAAAATCTGTCATTTTTAGCAGGTCAGCTGTGGAATAAAATGAGCTGCTAAAAGCATAAACAACTGTGTTAAATCATTTTCATTTATTCWGAAGCCACAGCGCTGCGCACTGTTCTTGCATGAGGCCCAATGTGAGATTGCTTTAGGAACAGAAAATGTCACCAGTGCCTGTTTTCCTACCATCACTGCTACAAAGCTGCTGCAGTTTGACTGGAGCTGTTCAGGTTTTTCCCACCTAAAAATCCTAAATCTGAAGGACTGTTTATGAATCTGATTTTAAAAAGCACCAACTAGAACTGAAGCTTAAGGGCTTAATGACATATCTACATAACATCCAAAATGTCTATTGTTTTGTAGGTTAAAGCCTGAAACACTTTAATGTATGTTGTTACACGTTGACAATGTTACTTAAATGACCAAAACTGATGTGTAATTTTTAATGAAAGGTTCCAAAGCTAAAGCAACTTAAATATTGATCTTCACCACAGTGAAGCATCCTCCTCCACCTCACTCTGTCCTCACTCCAACTACCTCCATGTCCTCTCTAACTGCATCCATAAATCTCCTCTTTGTCTTCTTCCTGGCAGCTGCATCTCTAACATCCTTCTACCAGTGTCGCTCCTCTGGACGTGTCCAAACCATCTGATGGTCTCATTTCTAATCGTACCATCCTTCACCCTCCCAAAGAGAACCTTATCTTCAACGCTCCTACTTCCAGTTCTCCCTCCTGCCTTTTTGTCACTTCCACGGGCTTTAAATCCTACAACACATCTGGCTCCCTATTTTCATAACAAAATCAAAAACACAAGAGTGATCAAAAATGTTTATTCAACATTTATCCTTACATTAAGTAGCGGTGACTATTTGTACACTCTGGTCTTCAGCATCATAGTTGTGAACACAAAAGTCCAAGAGCGCACATTTTTACATTTTTATTGACTGCACTGTGATCAGGGCTGCAAGAGTGGGCACAGCTTTTTTTTTTAACACAAACACTCAGGTCCAGAGAAGCTGGCTGTGTTTCTGGTTGTTGTTGATATATGGCGTTGTATTTGTATGGTAGAGCTTTAGCTTGTAGATGTAGACAAACTGAGTTGACTGACAATCATTTTCTGTGTGCTGACATCTGTTACAGAATGATGTGGTTTTTAATGCAGTGCTGCCTGAGGGGTCAAAGGTCAGGAGCATTCAATGCTGAGTTTTGGCATTGCTGCTTACTTGCAGAGATTTGTCCAGATTCTAGGGATCTTCTGGTGACATTAAAGACTGAAGATAATGACATCTCTAAATTATTTACAAAAGTACATAGAAAAACATTCTTAAACTGTTGGACTATTTTCTCACACATTTGTTTACAAAGTGGTGAACCTCACCCTAACCATGCCTGTGAATAGCTGAGCCTTTCAGTGATGCTCCCTTTATTCCCAATCAAGAAACTCACCTGTTTCAGGTGTCTTTTGTTGCCCCTGTCCCAGCTCTTTTGGAATGTGTTACAGGCATCAATTTCAAAATGAGTGAATATTTGCTAAAAACCAATGAAGTTTATCCATTTGAACATTAAATATCTTGTCTTTGATGTGTATTTATCTGAATATAGATTGAACAGGACTTTCAAACCATCATATTATCTTTTTATTTATGTTTTAGACAATGTCCCAACATCACTGGTTGTACTTTAGTTATAAAACAACTCAGACCTGTTTAGTTTCTGTTAGCTCAGTTGTAGTTTTTGTTAAAAAAAGTAAAGACTGTTTTCTGGTACTTACACCTGGGATGTTTGAAACGATTTCAAATGTGACTCCACAGCCGGGGATGGTGCTGCGTTGAGACATTTTCTTCAGGAGGCTCTGAGCAAAACCCTGTCGTCCAAAACAACCAGCAGCAGTTCCTCAGACCAGCTCGTTTTGTTAGCAGAGCTGTGAGAATAAACATCAGAACTCACGATCCCCCCACCTGCTTTCCTGTGACGTTGACACATATGCGCTTCCTGAGGACCAGGTGCATGTGGGCCGGGTGGCTCAGCTGCACCACGGTGTGGACAGTCAGGTAGACCCTCTGGTCAGGAGACACTGCACGGCTCAGATGGGGACACTCGTGGACCGTTGAGTCCCAGGACGCCTCCACTTTCACCTGGGCCACAATCAGGTTATATTTAGGACTTTAACAGCTTGAGGCAAAATATACAAGAGCGAGCAGGATGTCCTTACAAGTGGATCAAAGTGTTTAACAATTTGAAGCTCAAAGAAGTCGTCTTCATCTTCCCCACTGAGCAACGCATCAAGACCCCCGGCCAGAGGCGCCGACAGACTGGACTGAAAATCATCAGCTGGAGGGGAACAAACAACAGTTTAGCTTCTGTTCTATTAAAAGAGCAAAGTTTTACAACAGAAAACACAACGTACCGCTGAGATCCAGGAACAGGACAGGAATGTGTGTTTCCATTCCAGGGACAGGAACCCTGTGAAACAACTCTGATTAAAACACTAAATCAATAAACAGAGGCCTCGTCGGCTCCCTCAACACCTCAGAAGACGCCAGATACAAAAGAACTGACTCTGCTATTGTAATAAATCTGTTTCATAGGACAGTGATGGTTAACTAGATGATTTCTTCTTAGCTAACAAACCTTTCAGTATAGAAGTTAACAAAAAACACATTTTTAAATAACTGTGGCCAATGCATTGGGGTAAGACAAGCACATCAAAACATGCATCTCAATTGGTAGTATTTTTTTTTTTCGCTTCAGCCTCCAGAGGAGTCGGACGTGTTTTTTGCTCTCTCCTGAACCGGTCACCCTGCTTTGCTGCTCTTTCAAGCCTTTTTTTACCTACCATCTGAAACAAAAAGGAATTATGGATTTGGTCAGTGGTCTCTAAATAAAACTGACACTATTTTTTCCACGTTAAGACTGGAATGAGAGAGGAACGAAGCTGTCCCAGTGGAATGGTTGCTACTGGTCGCATCAGTGCTTCTTGGGGCTGGAACCCAAGTGTGTGTGTGTGTGTGTGTGTGTGTGTGTGTGTGTGTCCGGCTGAATATTTATCTCTGTAACTTTCATTTTGTCTTGTACTGAGGAGCAGGGAGAGCGAGCAGTAGAAGGCACACAGTGCTATAGAGAGAGGGGTAGTGGTGATGCTGTGAGACAGAAGGCTGTGTGGACCAGGTAAATGGTCAAAACCTGTCCCCACTAGGTACAAAAACATGTACAAACACACACACACACACACACACACACACACACACAC